AGCCCTCCCTGGCTGTGTTTCCCTTGGATGCAGGGAAGGCAGGCAGCCACATTATTTCAGCATAGTTTAACTTGCCAGGAACAGGTGTAAGATAAATCAAAATAAACCCTTCTTGGAATGAAATCATAATCCAACGAAAAGTTTGCAACAGTTGAAAGTCACTTCTGAATAGGTTAAACTTGCTTGGTTTTCTTGTGTCTGCACACCCTGGGGAAAAAAAAAAAGTTAAGTACTTTACGATTCTCTCCCTGGCATGTTTTTATCCTACATACCTCAGGTGCCATTTGTCCTCTTTTAAGCACAACAGCAAAATACTCTTCTGTACTTCCTTTCATATTCCACTTGAATTTAGCTAAAATCTCCATCATATTTCTGTATTTTAAGGAGGCTTTAGCAAACTTCTATCAATATTTTCCTCTTTATCTTTTAGGGGCAAAACTGGGAAATCAGGAAGAAGTAAATAGCAAAATTTTAATTAATTAAATAGAGACTCAAGTTTTGTTCTGTATCTTCCTGTAAAGCACCAGGAAGATTTGGGATGTGAGAGTGAGTAATGGACAGTATAACTCCAAACTTCTCTGTAATGACTCACTAGAAGACAAAGTTTCTGATTCAAATCTACTTCTTTGATTTTTTCTCAATCTAATATCTTGTGTATGATCTTCCAAAACATTAATAGTCTCTTCAGCTATGATGCTGATTCTATTCACTCTTTAGAAATACTATCCTTACAGATAGCATCCTCCTTCGTTAACTCGTCTGAGATTTCAGATCTTCTCAGCAGCTTTTGCAATGTTCACTCTTGGACACTTCATTTCAAAATAAATTTCAAACAATGAATTCTTCCGCTTTAGACATTTCTCCTAGTACCTCTCAAGAAACACCTGAGATTAGATGAAAGTTTTGTTAATAGTAACTTAGCAAGGGCTTTTTAAGTTGACAGCCACCATGTTAACAACTGAGGGGCCCCCTGAAAAAAAAAAAAAAAGAACCCAGAACTGCTGTGCGTAATAGATTACACTTATATATTGTCCAATCTCACTAAAATAGTGACATATATATATATATATATATAAAGACAAGTAACTGAAGCCCAGTCATGCAACAACCTGAAACTTGAATGGCTCATGAGAGATGTGCCAGCCTGAGTTCCTCACTTCACAGAGGAAGGACAATGTCGGGCTGCCTTATCTTGCTAAATCTTGGTTAGAAACTCTGGACCACTTGGGTTACACATGGAGGTGTGGTTAGCATTTCTAAGCTATTAGCACTTCTAATGGCAACTCTGTGACTGAGAGATTAATAATGATAAAAAAGGAGGCACCACAAATCATAACGGATTGTTTTACTACTACTGACTTTTCAATGTAACTTTCCTACTACGAACTTTTTGGATGTTGTGAAATTTTATAGTATTCAAAGGTATCATGCTAATAGACCCAGCTGTATAGGTAAAAGGCTAAACACAGAAGCTTTACTCGGATACTCGGATATTGCAAAATATCCCAAAGCCTTGATGTACCGTTAGGGCAACCTCTTAAATTACAGGAAGAATGTCAGGATGATATTAGGAAATGTAATTAGTGACACTCTCACCTGCTCAAAGCATGTGTACATGCTCAAACTAATACAGAAACCTGCATTATCCTTCTCTCTTTAATATTCTTCAAAGTCTTAGTGTGTAAGAAGATGTTAGTGAGAGCTTTTCCTGGTGCTGCATTTAATGCTCATGTGTTGGGACGTCCTTTCCTTCTACATAAAAATGACACTTTGAGCCAAGGTTAAACGAATCT